TCATCATCATCATCATCATCATCATCATTATTATTATTATTATTATTAGCACCTGCTCGTTTGGCCATAAGTTTTCGTAACGACGGAGGAAAAAAATCAGTTACCGTTGGTTTCGTTTCGCCTGGGAAAGCTCGTTATTTCACTTTGCCAGCCAAGCTGTTTTACGGAAATCGAGATATCAACATTAAGGTATGTATCTTAAAATAACTGTTATAAATCTAGTTCTCTGATTGGTTAGGAGCACGTGMTTAATGAAAGCACACAGGGCGCGTGCGCACTTTCAGTTGTGTAATTCCTTTCCAAAATAACGGTTAATGTAATTYGTATTTTATAAAAGAAATAAAAAACTTACTTGCTGTGCTGTGTGGAGTTATAAAGCACTTGGGGATTGGCAGAACACYCGAGAAGTGTCGAGAAGCACTCCGCTGCGCGAAAATGGAAGGTTTTGACCCAGGGCCTCAGTTATGATCGGGCAAAAAAGTAGGGTAGAAGGAATATCCCTTTAGCATTTTTATGTATAGTTAATATTTTCTAGCATTTCTATTCATTTTTATTGTTGAACTTGATATCAAGGTGACGCCGTTCTTTGGATCGATTCTCGTTTATGCGTCAAGAACTAATAAAAACCCAGGACCAAGTAACTACACGTACAAGCTTGAGTCCAAAGGTAAAGCATCTACTGATATGGTTTTCACGGCCACCACGGTGCCAATGGTGCCAAACAACTAGTTTTTAATGCTGACAGATACACAAAGAAGGGTCCGCCAACTAAAACACTAGAAAAAAAGAGTGCTTGAAGCTCGTGGAGACTCTGCGGATGAATTCTACAGGAAGGCGCTCCTAAGAGAGATCTAGATACAGATCGCTCTATATTTGCAAATTGGCGGATATAGTTAAACAATTATATATATACATATATATATATGTGGGATGAATTTAGCAAAAGATTAGTCATTACTCTCTTTCGTTATATCATCCAACATGGCTGCCGTGTCTTTTGTAATTACATTCTCTTGGGAATGATTGAAAACCAGCAATACATACAATGGGGCCGGATGTACATAAGAACCTTATTTTGAGCCGGACTGAGTAATAATGTTTTTGCATCAGGAAACCAAAATACTTGCCGACGTTTTAACGTTTCGTTCAGTCCATTATGTTTATATGCAAACTTCATGTTATGTGTTCAAAACATGGAGCTTTGAAGGTGATATTCCGAAAGGTATTCTGGGAAATGACATAATTATCCTCTGGGCCCGGTTGTACGAGGCCTGGATAGCGCTATCCGGCCGATAAACCCTTATCCAGTGGATACGTCGATGCTGTTGTCCGATAAATTTATCCACTGCATAAGATTTATTTGTCGGATAGCGCTATCCAGGCTTCGTACAATCGGGCCCTGATGTGTTCATTTGTGATAGACAGTCTATATAAAACATGTGTTCAAAGCCTCTATACTSTCTGTCAGTGCAATATGAAYATTTCACGAGTTGTATATCTACGAGATACCKCTAAGTAACATATTTCCCTTGCTCCATTTTTTATGAACCTAACAATGATTTTGCAATTGATTCTTCTCAAAATTATCGTGGATGCGAGGGTAACATGAAAACACGAAAGRAAACACACGTTTCTCGATGGAATTTGTGGCATTTCTTGTGTTGCATATTTTCCGCGTTAGTCTCGCATCCAAGGTAATTTTCGAACGTACGGTCCATTGAGTGTCGTATATATGGCCAAGAGGCAAGGGGCTGCATGGCCTACACGTTGTGTGCCGGGAGGTTCCTGATTTTGCGCAGTATTTGCTATTTGTTTGATTGACGCTACTCACGGTCTCTTTCTTGATTGACAGGTGTTGCGGGTGAATATTTGAATCTTCATTTCAAAGACGTTTGCAAAGGTAATAGAACTTTCCCGAAATCGCTTGAGTGACCACGAAACAATGGCACCAAGCCGAAGTTGGACTAGCCTCCTTTTCAGACGTCGTTAGGGTCGTCACGCAACGCTTCTCTCGTTGCGTGACGACCCTAACAACGTCTTCGAAGGAGGCTAAGGTTGGACGAGAATATGTTTTTCAGCCCTGTTAATATAGACACAATGCGCGCGCATATCGGAAATATTTAATCATTGATATGTCGTTTTGTATATTATCTGCTTCTTTGGTTCAGCGTGCGGATGATTATTATAGATTATTATTCATATTTATAATATGTTTTTTAGGTTATAACGAGACAACATGTCCACCAATCTACATCGCTATCCAAGGAAAATTGTCCAAGCTTTCCTGCCATGGTGAGTGTTCGAAATATTGGTCATAAAAATCACAATAATCGTTTCCTTCCGCTGGTAACTTTATAAGATAGGACATTTGCATGATGGCGTCATTTACTGCCACCACCAGACCCCCTTGCACACATTCTTTTGTGCAGTTAATTAGCACTAATTGTCTTTCAAATACCAACAAATTTCAATAAGGAATAAAATTCGCCAAGCATTATGGTACGTAGTGGGAGTTAAATGACGCCAACGAGCAAAAGGCCTACTATTAAACGTCTTAAGAATGTTACACTCCTGTTTAAAGATCCTTGACTCACCGATCCTTGACTAACAGGTTGAATGCCCAATGTCTCCGTGTTGAATACTATAATTTTGACTCTTATTTTGATTTGCTTTTCTTCGACTTCACTCTATTAGAATAAGCTTTCCCGGTTGACTCAAGCTCGACTCTCCTAGATTAAGCTTTCCGTTAACTACTACTGAAATCTTCATCTTCTCTCCTCTTTGCTACTAATCTCTTACCCTGGTCCCAAAGGCTCGACGATTTTTCTCCCGGSCACGTATATTTTGAGCCGCGAAGCAGCGAGACCTCGTCGGAGCCTCTGGTAGGAACCGCATACAACCTCATTTCCATGCTAAATCAAAGTGTCAATCAATCATTTAGAACTAACCAATCACACAAGAGATACCCGTGGCGCTTTTGGTATTTAGGGAGGGGAGGTTGTAGTTGACCAAAATAACTTTGCGGAGTCCACCTAAGTGCTTTTGTCATGTAAACGTGTCCAAATATGTCAAAGTGACAGTCCGGTGTTTACATTCAGCAACACGAATCGCAGCCAATTGTGAACGAAATTAAAACAAAAATACTCCATTGAAAAGCGCAATCTCACATCCTTCAAAGTCCTGTCGACTTTGCAAATGTAGTATTACGTCTGGAAGACCAAGAATTCACCTCTTTGGCCCAAAGTCTCGCAACGAAAATCTTGTGAAACGACTAGCTGTTGTTCTCGATGCCGAGGTTCACGTTCACGACGGACCTTCTGAATTTTTTGGCTTCTTTTTTTTTTTTTTTTGGCGTTACAAATTACGAAGTTACAAATTACAAAGTTACGAAGTTACAGAGTTACAAAGTTACAAAGTTAAGGACCAAATGCTCTGTCAAATTTCTGTCAACATGTCGTGATAATGATGTGATCGACGCCCGTTGTGTTACTGATTAGTTGCCTAG